TGAAGCACCAAATCCCTTATTCTAATCCAAGTTAAGGACATTTAGGAGTATGATGAGCAAACTGGATACCTTTCTCTGGGCTTCAGTGACAGGCCTGCCACTGTCTTCCTTCGAGGGGGTAGGAGCTGCAGCTAACATTGGAGTTATGTAGAATCACTGGGAAAGGTAAAAGCAATATTGTACAGAAACTACTCAGCACCTGATGTGGAAGATAACAATCTCCATGTATGGTGCTCCCTAGCTCCCCAGCAAATTCTTAGCCAGGAACTCACTGGCAGTGGGTTATTCTTTTTGGATCAGAAGTTCTTCCTGTCTGTTTTTCCATCATGGGACAGACATGAGGTTTTAGACATTCCTGCTAGATCATCAAGGTATTTTTACTCCTAGTTTCCAATCTGAGGGACAGGATCCATTCATACTTCATTGGCATGGCAAATGCAAATGGCATAGTTTAGCCTCTGACAGGATAGTTTTGTTTTAAGCAGTTGCTTTGGCTGTTAAAAGTCACCTTAAAAAGTTAGTCTTATACCAAGATCTCTCATTCACTTGCTTTTGCTCTCTTTCACTTGTGCACAGGGGTGCACACACACACACACACACACACACACACACACACAGCCTTTCAAAAATAACTATCCGTGAATACTCTCAAACAAATTTGTAGAAGAAGATACGGATAACAAGAGATGAATTCTCTTGCACAATTAAAAATATTCCTTTGTGTTTTTCAGGCAAGCTTATGGTTAATAGCTATAGAAGGGACCTTTCTACTCCCATCCCACTCCTAGGCCACCTGCCTAAACCAGTTGTGCAGAAAGATTCTGAGTCACTGCTTACCTTCAGAGGAATGATTCTGAAAGTTTAACTTAAGTGATTTTTATATAATCAAATTCAGTAGATATACACTGGGCACCTACTGTGTTCAAAGAACTCATTACATTTTGTACTTACTGGAAGACTATTTTTGTCTTACCATGTCCTTGAGGGCACTAGGTTGCCATTCACTTTAATAGTTACCAGGCCTGGCACAATCCCTTGTATATGGTAAGTGCTCTATAGATGTTTTGTTGGATGTAATACTACAGATGGCAGGGCACTGGGAAGCCAGAGGGGTAAGGGTATTGATAAGCCAAGTTTCCTACGCCCTTGGAAGACAGAAAGTTATCACATACATTACAAACATGTGTTTTACTCCAAATGTAAATTTGAATCCTCCTTTTGGGAATTATTATCTGTGAAGAACCTAAGCATTCTCTTCAAGTCTCAGTTTCTTCATCAATAAAATGGGAAACAATGTGTGATCATGAGGACTAGGAAGTTGATGATGATATCCAGCATGGTGGGCACTCTGTGTGATGGCAGCAACTTCCCAGCTGCTACTTGTGCTGTTGGGGGCGCTGGTAGCCGTGATCCTTTTGCATGGGAAGCATTTAACCTCCAGCACAGACTGGTGCATAGGGAAAAAGACAGGAGCCACGTGAGATGGGGGTACCCTGGGGCTGCAGCAGATGTGCCAGCTCCCAGATGGGTGGCTTGAATGGATGGAGCCCCTTCCAGTGCTTCTGTGATGGTGAGAGTGGCTAGATCTTGGAGAGGAGCTCGTCTGACCAATTGCAGGAGGAAAAAAGAACTTAGCTTTTTTTGTCTAGCAGCCCTAATCGTTCTCCTGTTCCTTTGGGGACTGGAGATAATCACAGTGTTTTAGTCCTTCTCCAGGGGATTTGTAGGGATTTTGGAGTCTCACTGTAGCTCTCAAGGACCACGGTTAGAGGGCAATAAGAATAAGAGTGACACAGAAGATGAAAAGAAAGGGCAAAACAGAGGGGTGTGTGTGTGTGTGTGTGTGTGTGTGTGTGTACACATGCGTGCTATGGGTAGAGAGCAGGGAAGGCAGAAGCACTTATTCAGAAGAGGACTCCAGCCTCTGTGGTCTTTTTCCAGTCCATCCTGGAATCCTGAGCAGATGACCAATGTGCTTTGGCAGACAAAGAATTTCAAGTGTGCCTTCCTTTTACATTTACATCTCAGGTCCTTAAAATCAAGTGTCCTCTCCCTTGCACCCATCTTTCGCTGTGACTATGCACCTTTTGGTACCACTATGGGTTTGCTTTAGGCTTTTCCACAATGAAATATCCAGCATCCTTCACAGCTTCTGGTGCCACTGGCACCCCTGTCTTGCTCTAATTAACCAATTACCAGAGTTATCCAACCTATTTTTTCAGGCAATCAAGTCTTTAAATGCATGGATTTATCATCACCTCAAGTCACCTGTCACTAGGATGGAACAAAAATAGAAAGGTAACTAAGAGCAGAAAAAGGTTTAAATCCACATGCTTTTCATAATCAGTTCATTATTTTCAAGAATTCTGTCTATGAAAAGAAAAGAATTCAGTGGGAGCTCTTAGGAAAGGAGGCATTTCCAAAAGGTGAGTGCTTGAAGACTGTGCAGAAGGGTTTTGTTTCTGTTCCTAGATGGCTGGGGATCTAACGTTTCCTTGACTTTGCCCTAAGGTCCCTCCTTTCCAGCTCTCCCCTCAGCAGAGAAAGCAGAACCATTGGCTCCCTTGCTTAGAGCTTTGAATGGCTTGGGTCACAGCAGATGAAGAAGGGAGGCTGTGGGTCAGGGTGCTACTGGAGCTGCTCCCGCTTTCTGTGGTCACTTTCAGTAAAGCCATTCTCTTATTTACCTGATTGCCCTGAACATGTTTGAAACCAGATTACTTTTTTCAGCATGAACAACCTTATTTCTTTTGGCCACTCCTCATTCATAGTTCTGAGAATTTCACTCCAATTTATTAACTGGTTTATTTAAACTATGGTACCTTCAAATTTAACACAAAATTTCCAATGTGCTATGTTCAGCAAAGAGCAGTCACCTTTGCCTCTCTGCGCACAGAATTAATATTAATAGAGCACCAGTGCTTTTAAAGCTCCTCTGGCCAGCCATATGCGGCTGTTTAACCATATCTTCCCTAACATGTGAGTCTTTGATTGTGAATTTTTAAGGAAATTTAACATAGGAATTTAGATTTAGCTTTAGTTTTGCTAATTTGTGAGTTTTTAGAAATCTAAACAAAGGAATTTATTCAAATCTCATAAAATTTAAGTGCAGCTAAAAGCTGAGTATTTATTTACTTATTGGCCGCAGAGTCTTTCTATGTAGTCCAGGGTGGGCTTGAACTCACAGCAATGCTCCTGCTCAGCCTCCCGGGTGCTGGGATTACAGCTGTGTGTAAAGCCACCACAGCTGGCTTTAAGCACTGAGTCATTTTTTAACCATGGAAACCAGTTTGAAGTACAGCATAGTTCCCAATCTACGTACTATTTTACTTTAACTGGAGATTTCTGTATTCTCATTGTAGTTATTAAAATATTGCCCATAATAGAGTTGATACAGAGCCCTGGGACAAGCCACTAGCAGCTACCTAACGGGCTGCTATCACTTCATTAATCAGTATTTTGCAGGTTCTTTCCAAAGTTGAAGGCTAACTCTTGAGCTGGAAGGTCTCAGGAGCTCAACCAGTGCTGATATTCTTAGTATAAAAATAAGAACAGATTAATATTCCCAAAGTTGTTTTTGTACCATTTCAATTTAAAAGAGAATTTAACTGACTGTACCCTTATCCACAACTTGTGTTTTTTGGGTGTGTGTGATATAATAACACTAGCTGACAAAGAACTCATTATTCATACATAAATTTCTCAACAGTGCACTGGGTAATAACAGATGTAATTGACCTACTTGGTCTGTTTTCTCCAACGTAATTTTAAAAAACTCTCTTACTCTTTTGCCACTGAGTTTTGCTAATATCTTCACACTAGCATACTTTTACCTGGGAGTTTTGTCAAAGCAAAGTTATCTGTTAAATTTTGAAGAATCAGCCTCATTTCCACATGGCAGCATGTGGAAAACGAAGGTATTTCTGGTAAGATTTATTGTAGCACGTTCCAGAAAACCCTAACTCCAGGGAGGACCAGATTGCATAGAATGGCATATTAAAGTTTCTTTCCATATCTATGAGGCCCAGGTGGAGGGGACAAATGGATTCCTACCTGACTGCAAAATATGATATATTATTATAAACAGAGTCTTGAATTATAGAAAATACTAGTTAGCATAATTACATTACCATATTTTTATATGGAGATTATTATTCAAATACCAAACAGGCAATCTTCCATTGGAAAAAACCAATAAACACTCTCAATCCTGACTTCCACTGTTATGTATGTCATAGCACAAAACAATTTTAAAGTTTAAAACCCATTACATTACAAGAGCTATTCACTTCAAGTAGGTGGCAATTTGCCTCTTTTTTTATCCCACGTTTTGATAGCTATTCACCTCTATCAATTCTTATCTTGCCCATTCTTCAGAAACCAATTGCAGTTTAAAAAGTGCCCATCTATTTCTGATTGAAATCTTCACATGCTGGTTTTTTAAACTATTTTTCAATCTCTTAATAAAATAGATTGCCTCCAGGCTGCCAGTTAGTAAACCTGCTAACAATACAGCAATTCCAAGGGCCGCCCTGGCTCTTGGGTTTTTCCTGCATTTGGTTCTGTCCAAGAAACCTCAGGTCTCCATTGGTTCTATCTACATGTGCAAAATAGTTTAATGGATTAAAATTATTTAAAATTGTACAAACTATCATCAACAATAAAGCTCTGCAAAATTACCTGATTAAATTTAGTTAAACTGCCATCATTTTTATTTCATGAAATTTTAAAAGAGGCTTTATAACTCTGTCCTTGACTTGTTAACATTTTTTTTTTTTTGACCGTTGTTGACATGTCAGAGTTGCAGCCTGAAAAGTCTTTCCATAGCCATGGAGGACCACATCCATTTGCAAGAGGGACTCTCAGCCCATCAGTCTTGGGACAAATACTTCTTGAGGGCCCTCTCCATAGCTGGCCATGGAACAAGTAAAGGAAGAATAGGTACAGTGTTTTCCCTTGAGCTGCATACTTTAGAGACAGAATCATGTGAGGCAACTTACAAAGCCAAGGGGAAGGTGCTCAGATTGTGGGTATTCCACTGTTGAGAGATGGAAGAACTAAGCGGTTGAAGGAACAGTCTCCAAAACCCAGGAAGGTCCCACAGAGGCTGGAGAGAGAGGACAGGATCTGTTAGGTAGAGAAGAGTACCTGATCCAGGAGCCAGGAATAAAGATCATGAGCTTGGAGTGAACCAAAGAAAATGAAATCTCTACTTCCTTCCACCACCCATCATTCCTGTCTTGCAGGAACAAAAGCAACACTTCCTTTTTTAAAACTCTGGCTATCTTTAATGTCCCCGAAAGATTACCAACCTGCTCATTCCATTACCTTGGCCTTATCATTACCCAGGTATGGACATCCTATAACCTTAAAAACATCCATATCATCTTGGTTTAAATGAGATGAAGTTAAACTTTTTCCCAGGTCCACATATAGATGTTAGAAAATTTAAGACAATGCATTCCAAAAACTTTATTGATGTTATATCAAAAGCTGGGCATTGCATATTCTCAGCCTTCTGGCTTCCTTTTTAACCAAGTAGTAGGTAGAATCTGGAGAAACATGGTAGAACAAGGTAAGTACCAGTAAGAATAGCATGGAGCACTTTCACTTTCACAGCTAAAGAGAGAGCAAATCTGTTGGAGATGTAGAGAAGGTTGAAAGTATTTGAGATGAATCTTCACAGAACACCAATGGCCCAAGAAATAGTACCAAAAATCAACAAATGGGATCATATCAAATTAAAAAACTTCTGCACAGCAAGGGAAACAACCAGTGGAATCAAGAGACAACCTACAGAAAGGAAAAAAATTTTGCCAGCTATTCTTCAGACAGTGGACTAACATCTAGAGTGTGTAATGAACTAAAAAAAAATTAGATCTTAGAAAGAAAAGAACCAATCAAAAAATAGGCAATGGAAATTAATAGATACTTCTTAGAAGAGGAAGTACAAGTGATCAATAAATACATGAAAATATGGCCCTCTCTGGCCATTAGAAAAATGCAAATTAAAATAACACTGAGATTCTATCTTATTCCAGAAAGAATGGCTATTATTGAGAAATCAAATAATAATAAATACTGGTGAGGTTGCAAGGGAAAGTAAACCCTTCCACATTGTTGATGAGAATGTAGTCTAGTACAGTCACTATGGAAATCAGTATGGAGATTCCTCAAAAAACTAAAACTAGAAATTCCCCTTGACCCAAGTATTCCCTTTCTAGGTATCTTTCTGAAAGAATTAAAATCATCATATTTCAGTCATACACGCAGACCCATGGTTACAGAAGCATAATAGTTAATAATAGTTAAATCTTGAAAGCATAATAGTTTATCATAGTTAAATCTTGAAATCAGCCCATATGTCCATTATCAGATACATGGAAATAGAAAATGCTGTTTGTACTACCATACTGATCCTTCCTTCCTTCCTTCCTACCATCCATCTTTCTTTTCTCACAGGTATAAAGGCAATACTTGTTTTTCTTTAACTCTGGTTATCTTTAATGTCCCCTAAAGATTATCAGCTTGCTCATAGAATGCAACAGAGCACTACTTTGCCACAAAAAAGGACAAACTTCAGGCATTTGTAAGTAAATGGATGCACTTTGAGGACATAATGTTAAATGAAATAACATAAACTTAAATATCACATGGTCTCTCCCATTGGGAAATCCAAAATATAAATAAAGAGCAAAATAAAAGACAGATAATAGGAAGTAGGGAGATCTTTTTCCAATGGGAAGGGCATCAAAAGATGGAGGGAGGGAGAAGGGCAGAAGGTAAAGGGCATAAAAAAATAATTGAGAGAAAAAATGGAAATAGAGCTTTTGCAAATGGAAAATGGACCAAATGATGGAAGGAGCAAGGAGGGCTGGGAGGGATAGGGGGGCACAAAAAGAAAGAATTAGGATGTGATATGTACCTGTATCAACTCCCCACGACATATGCAGACATGTACTAATAAAAATGACTAAGGCGTTTACAGCATAAAAGAAGGTCCAGGGAGATGAGGAAAAGTGGAGACACTGACATGGACGTAGGCAAGTTGAGATTACAACCAAGGAAAAGCAAATAGTTCTGTGTGGCTTCCAGGATTGATAATAGAATGTTATTAACTATAAAATAATATTATTGCATGCTCTGTCTTACAGGCAGCACATACACTTCTGTAGGCACTGTTTCATTAAACTCTCACATCAGCATGTGAGAAGGATACTCTCATCCCCTTGGAAAATATGATGAAACTGAGGTTTGGGTAAGTTAAGGATCTTCTCTGCAGTCTCTCAGCCAGAAGACATTAGGGCCAGGACTTTGTCTATCTAATCTATATTGAGGAGGATGTAGTTAAGGGGAGGCAAAGATCTATTTGAAGGAGATGAAAGAGCAGTGCTGAAGGGGCCTGCCCAAGAGACTGAAGGGAGAGAACAGGGGTTGGAGGAAGAGAGGGGAGAGACCGGTAAGAAAATCTGCTCCAGTGATAAAAGAGATCCTTTGGGCTCTCATTTATTTATTTATTTATTGTGCTGTAACAACAACCAAAAAAGTGTGAGATTTATTTGCCAGTATGTGGGAATCAAAATCCTAGACAAATGCTTCCCCTTGAAGTTGGATTTGACTATTTAAGATCAAGCCAGCAGAAACTTGGTTGAGGCCCTGTGTGTGTGTGTGTGTGTGTGTGTGTGTGTATGTGTGTGTGTGTGTGTGTTTGCCTCAAATCCCATACTGGCATCAGGTATCTCCCACCAGGCTGTCCTGAGCATTCATGGGACCCTACCCTGGGATCTTGCTGGCCAGAGGTAGCCCAGGTCTGTGCAGGTGACGGCGCAGGAATCATGGACACCTCCCTTCCAAGGCCACATTCAGGCTAAAAAGTGAGGGCTGAGAGTGGCAGAGAAATGGAGTTGGTCACTTCTCTTGCTCCTGCCTCCCCTGGGTCACTCTGGTTGTGTTAGAGCCCCAACGGCAGGTGGCCTGGCCTCTTGGGTTAGGGTGCTCCCCAGTGCACTGCCTGATTTGCAGTGATCTGTGTACTGTGGGCAAGAGTCTGATCGGGGCTGAGCATTCTATGCTACTTGTTAATTAATCACCCCTTTATTCTTCTAGCTGCTTTCTTTGGAGGATGATTGCACAATGACAATATCCCAAAAGCTGTACTAGAAGCTTCATTCAAACAGTCACCTGCCTCCGCCTGCCCCTGTGGCCTTATCATCCCGCACAGGAGTGTCTTGTCATTTTCATTCCTTCATTGCCATTCAGAGTGCTGTACTGGGAGGGTGCCGTGCTGGGAGTGCTGTTATTCTTTCTAACGCTGCTATTTTTATTATAAAAGATGAAGAATAGTAGGAGGTTAATGGCTGCTTAGAATGAAAACAAATAATGACTAAGAACAAATATTCAAACGAGGCATTGTCTTGCTGAGGGAATGATATTCAACAGAGAAGTGCCTGCTTCGTTTTTCTCTCCCGCTTTGACTACATAAACCAGGAGTTGTGTAAACTCAGTGGCTGGCATTGTACTGCATTCCACCATCAGGTAACCTAACAAAAGTAGCTCTGTTGGAGGGACAAGAAGCCTCTAAGGGCCAAGGGTTCTTACCAGGGCTGTTTATGCTTCCTCTCCCCAACATCTCACTTCCAACTGCCTTTATCTTTGCTGAATGGATCATCTCACACTGAATACTCTGGCCACTTGCAAAACCCAGTTCTTGGTACTGAGGAGTGCATGGTCATGGAGGGTCAGCAGGTTTGGACCTTCTTCACTGCCCTGTAGTTCCTGTTTCTACCCTTTACCTGCAGTACACAACACACACATTATCATACCCATGATTTCTAGTTTCTTGCTGTGCTAGCCTTTTAGGTGGAAAATTACCTGCCTGCCCTCTAGCCCTATGCCTGAGCCTCTCAGAGTCCTATTCTTTATTAGGTGACTATCAGTGGAAAAGGGGGAAGAGACTTGGAATTATTTCGGTACATAGCATGTACTAGGTAGGAAGAGATGTTATCTTCCTTGCTTTTTTTGATAATCCTGCAAGGTAAGTGCTATTATCTTAAGTTTACCATAAAGACACAAAGGCACAGAAAAGCTCAGTAAATTAAATTACCCAAGGTTACAGAGTGAATGAGGGGGTGAGGATTTGTTCATTAGTTCAAAAGTACACACAATACTCATCCCCTTAAGAGGCACATATTTTTCTTTATGTAACATCTTAATTCTTTCAAAATATACTGTCTCCAGAAATCCCCTCAGAAGAGAAGGTAATGGTCACTCTCAAGCTTTAGCACAGTAAGAATGTACAGAGAGCTATTTCTTCCACCTAATCAGCATGAAACCTTGTCTAATTATAATCCCAGTGAAACATTGTTATATGATTGCTTCTAAGTAAAAGTAAGGGTTCTAAGGTGAATACTGAGGATTTTCTATATCTTCCCTATCCTTCTGTAAATAGTTCTTATTCAGTGACTGGATCCTAAACCCCCTCCTTGATCATTTCCTTCTCCACACCCCGCCAGAGAGCTGTCATTAAACATGGGCTCATGGTGGACAAGGGCCACATGTCAGCTCCACTGACCCGAAAATCTCCCTGTGGACGCTCCCCACCTCTGCAAGTCCCCTGTGCCTGGGCTCCACTCTGCTTCCGACTCGCCTTCTCATGCCTCTCTGTCTCTCTTCTTGGTACCATGGTCCCTTGTACAGAGGGAGTCAGTCCAATTATTCCAATCCACACTGATCTCTCCCCTCGCTGAGACCCTTAGTTAGTGCTACATGAGTTACCACAGTAGTCCTCTCATTTCCCTGGTGTGTGTTTTGTTTATTCAACTTGATTTATAGCCGGCAGGGTGGGAGCCATGTCTTATGTTTTTCTCTAACCCCTCATAGCAAATGTCCAACAAATACAACTGCTAAAAGAAAGCTGTAGAAAGAAAGCACTGAGTTAGTATTCGGAGGCTTGTCTTTTGCTTCAGCTCTGCTACTAATCAGCCATGTGATACTGGGCAAATTCCTTAGCTCTCAAAGTCTATTTTCCCTATCTGCAAAACATGATGATATTTGAGCAGTGCTTGAGCAAAAGATTCTAAGACCTTTTCCAAAGTTGTGACCATGCTT